AAGAAGAAGAAGAAGAAGAAGAAGAAGAAGAAGAAGAAGAAGAAGAAGAAGAAGAAGAAGAAGAAGAAGAAGAAGAAGAAGAAGAAGAAGAGACGCGACGAAAGGGTTAGGGGGGGGGGCAGATGAGTGTGATTTTTAAAAATGAATTAAGTCAATTAACCCAAGTGCACTCTTAATCTCCAACGTCGTGCTCAATTGATATTTTAAAATTCAAAATTGGTATTTGTTGTGACATTTCATTTCTTTCTTTGAATTACAATATAGGGACTTAATTGTGATAGGGATTTAAACTCAATAGGAGCGAAACTATAATCAACCTACAAACATTGTATGCTTGTCTCTGTCCTCAGCTGATGCTCTGAATCGTGTGGAAGAGCTACGGGGTGGTGCCGTGGACTCTTACGACAAACTCATCGCCTGGCTGGCAGAGATGGCAGAGTCGGACAACGTGGAACTGGACACCTCCGTGTTCGTATCCCAGCTCAACCGTGTGTGTGGCGGGCATGCGCAGAACAACTTCCTGGGCGTCTCCGGACCGGCGCTGGGCGGGGCGATGGGTGGAGGAGCTTCAGCTTCCTGTCGTCGGGCTGTCAATGTGCGTCAAAACTCCGCCTCCTGCGACAGTCACGTGTCTCACGCTAGTTCAGACTTCACTCAGAAACACCGAGGCTCCATGAGGTCTGAAGACTTTCTCGACCCTCGAGCGGCCTGGAAGTCAGGGGTCTGCTCCAGACAGAACACGTTCAGCGATGACCTGGAAGAGGAAGACCCGGATGTACGTAACGCCAGCATGGAGAGTCTCTACAGCAGCACGGACCGCGACAGCGAGCTAGGCTCTGTCTCGGCCTACGACGCCACGTCAAGACGGAGTGGGCGGACCTACAACTCCACTAACTCGGGATCACCTTTACTGCGGACTGCTATGACCAACCGTCTCTGTCGGGGCGGAGTCAAACAGGGTGGAGCTACTCCGCGAAGCTCGAGTACAGGAAACTTATTGGACATCGTTGATAATCCCGACGGGACCCCGAAGAGACAGTTCTCGGGGGCTTTTTGCAGTCGAAGAAGTGTTAGTCTTCTCAATCTGAGCCCTCCAGCTCCCATGATTCCTTACGACGGCATCCCTAAACTAGTGTTCACACAGGAAGATGACGTATCCTACACCGATACATCCAGCGACGTCACGACTCACATGGTCGCTCGGAAACTAGGCTCACGGAAAAAGTCCAGCACCGGCTGGTCCTCCCGACAAAAAGCTAATAAATTTGAACGTCAAATCTCGCTTCACGCTGAAGGAAGCCCTTGTGGTTCTTCGTCAAATTCAGGCTCGGCCACGCCTGTCTACCCACCTCCTACTGTCGCGGAGCCCGAAAAAGCCCAAGCCCCAGCCGCACCTGCTTTCTTGAACGACGCTCTTTTAGACGGGAACCTGGCAGACATTCTGTTTTCTGTAGAAGCGCTGTGGCCCAAGAAATGAGCATGTCCGGAGAAAGATCCGCTTTCTTGAAGTTTATTTTCTCAACAGAGGAAAAAGGCGGCCTGTCTGTCTGGCTACACGAGCCGTTGAAATCAAATGTCATTTCTGATTTTTTTGACATTCATACACGGTGGCGCAAGTCAAACGGAACCCGTCAAGTCGAGCTTGAATCAGTCAACTCTGTCAATCGGTGCTGATCTTCTTGGTGCTTGAAAGTTGAACTCATTTCAACTTCGATGTTTGGAGCAGAGATTGATGCTGCACTGAATCTATTTGAAGGTTTCAACGATTGAGACTGGATTTTGTTTTGTGGCGCTGTTGTCTGAGTCCCGGCAACACCGGATGCCCTTGACCCCTGACCCATGGTCCAGGAACATGCAATGGGCGTACTGGGCTGAGATACGAACCTTATTGTTGTTGTCAGTTTTTGTGCCCTCTTAGTTGAACTTCTTCTCTGTGTTATATCTTTGTGTCAAAGATTCACTCGTATTTTTTGTAGTATAAATTTAAGCCTCGAGGTAGGTTCCAGAAGAAAACAAACAAACAACTTTCAGTTTTCTCTCGAGGAGATTTTTCATTTTGTTTGAGGACAAAGGTGTGCGTCTTTTAATGAACTTTTTGGCTACCATTGCCATCATTCACAACTTTCCCTGCAAATTTACTTTTGCGTGTTAGTTCACTCATTATATTTATGTCTCTGTTGTACCATTTTAAAAAACCTCTACGGTACATGATAAACTCTTTGAAGAAACAGAAACTCTGTGTCTTTCAGATAATTACACAACATATCAACCTAAATGTTTTCAGCTGTACATATTTCTGCTGCTGTTCTGTTTGTTTGATTAAGTATTTATTATAATATTATTACAGACTTTCACGCCTCTATAAACGAAGCACTACGCCACTGCAAGGCTCACTCATGTTATAATTGTTCACCCCTGATTTAGCCATGACGTGCTTTAATTTTGCTCTTGAGCTTCTTCTATATTTTTTTTCAAATGTCAACTTTCAATTTGTCTTGAATCCACCCCCCTCCCGCCCAAAGTGCTGCTAGCACTACCCCCTCCCTGCTCCCCCCCCCCCAAAAAAAAAAAATTTAAAAAATAAACAATACATTAACATTGCACTTTGCCTTGAAATCACAGACTGCTTCTCAAATAATAACATATCCGATTTCTGTTCCTGAACTCTCTACAATTGTTTAAAGAAGCGACAAAATTGTTTCCAAGTTCAAACGTCTCTCCCTGGCTTACATTACACTCATCACATATCTGACATATTTGTTACACTGTTCGAGCCCTCCCAAAGTGGTCCCCTGGTGTCGATGACCGAGCACATCAATCGTTGGCCTCATCAGGCTTGTTCCGATCTCACATCAAACTAGGACAACTGCCGATAACATCACACAATGTTCTGACCCTTTTATTTTATTTTATCTAGTTTTGTTTTGTTTTCTTCTCTCTTTTTTCCCTCTGAAACTTTTTTAATGGGTTTTATCTCTGTACTCTGTACCATTTTTCTCTATCCTTTCTCCCCCCCCCCTCCACACACACACAGAGGTAATACCCATAAGTGTGAATTTCCTCCTTTTGTATATTGATATACATCATGTACCCCACAAAATGAACCCAAAAAAAGACAAACAACAGGGAGCAAAAAAAGGAGAAAAATCAAACCAAGAAAGACAAAGCCAACATCAAAAACAACGAAACAACTACAACAACATCAACAACAAATCATGCCAACTAAAAACATCTACCTCAGGCAAAAAACAAAACAAAAACAGAACAACATTTTGACACCCCCCCCACCCCCTTTCGTGACGCGTTTATCCACCCAGGATACAAACACATCACGTTGGGGGAACAAAAATAGAAGACACTGAGGTTAACCTGAGCCTAAGCACCCGAATTCTTTGTAAATATTTATTCAGTGGGATTCCAGATTCGCCCTTCTTGTTTCCATCACGAAAACATTTAGCAATGGCTTTTAATTTGATGTCCTGATGTTTATCCTTTGTTGGCTGCCTTCCCCATCTCCATCCCACTTTTTAAACCACCCATTCCCCTTTCTTTAAAAGAAGTAATATTTTCATGAATTTGGAACTCCGCCAACTCCCCCCCCCCCTCCTCCCCACCCTCCAATGTCGCGACCGGCACTTCTTAAACTGATACTGTAACCCCACAGGCAGTCCCGGTTTGCACGACTCTGCTTTCATTTTATACATGTATTAGTATATTATCCTAATTCATGCACTCTGATGTAATAACAATTGACCATGGAGCTCACGATTTGACTCAGTTCGAGGTAAATCAAGGGCAAGGGGGGAATAGTGCCGCGCACACTCGACTATTGATGTTTTATTTGGGCCAACGGGCACGGTTCATGGTGATCCCGATTCACAGCAAAGTAAAGAGTCTGTGCTTGCTCTCTTTTCAGAAAGTTTTCATTTGCGTTTTCTAGATCCTTTCCCATCCCTTTCCCACCCCTTCTTCACCCCTTCTTTTTTAAAATACATTTCTCTCTTTCTAGCGACATCATTAATTAAATGGCTTGTTTGTGCGAACCATTTCTCCGCAAGATCGTTGAACCAACTCTGTGAACCATTCATTTCCCTTGACTGTACAACAACAAAGAACCTATGTTTGTTTTCCTCGCAGCGCCATGGATGGCGTCGTTAACCGAATTTGTCCAAATACGGAAAACGAGATGACGTCTGGAAAACAAGTGACCCTTTTGTATCGAAAACATAGTCTAAACTTTGAACGAACTCTTTCAGCTTACCTGTACTTTTTGGAGAAAAAAAAACACGTCAAAACCAAAAGCTTTTCTCCCAGCTGTCTACGTCAGCTCAAAAACAAACCAGAACTCAGGGAGTCATTCAAACCGTTTAGAAAGGAGCATGAGATGTAAATATTGTGGTTAAGGTAATTTTCGAGCACCCCCACCCCCTCCCCGGCATTCTTAAAATAAATTAAAAGCGTCTTTCGTGCATGAAGTCACGATGACTCAAATATGACCCCACAGGAATGTTAAAGTAGAAAGGTATTTTTTTAAAAAAAGTATTATTATATAAAATCTCAAAGGTTAAGTGAAAATGGGAATGTCAAGCGAGTTTTACAAAGAGGGATGAGGAGGGAGGAATTTTGTGTGTAAATCAAAGAAGGGAAACAAAACAAAAAAAATGTAACCATGTAATGAAAGAAGAAATAATGTACACCACCAAATAGCCCATGCCTCTATTATTAGAAATACTTTAGTTTTGTTTTGTTTTCTTTGTTTTGTTTTTTAAAACGTGTTCATTTGGACCGACGGTCATTATTCATTGTCCGTTTTACATAGTAATATTCTAAGTGAGGGGTTGGTCTCGTATCTTGAGCTGAAAGACTGTTTATAGAAATACGAGAAACGAAACAAAATTATTTTAACAGGGCCGTGTAGAGATCGCTGTAAGCCTAAATTTTCGCATGGATTGTTGAAGATGTTTCTTTCTTTTTAAAAAAATATAATAAATTATGACTATTTTTTTTCTGCACGAACATCTTATTGTGGCACTATCTTTGGTACTCACACTAGAAACCTGGTCGATTTCACCCCACGATTAGAGGAAAAAAATAGTGGATCTAATTCGAAACCGTGCTGAAAAAAATACACTAACACGAGTTCTGTTATAAGTCCAAGCCAGGGCGTAGAAGCAAGATCCATTTTCAGTCTTGTAAAGCGGGGTTTTTTTTAAATCTTTCGTTCAAAATCTGTCAATCTTATCCTTTTTGTAAAAAAAAAAAAACATTTCTATACGCCACTCTCCTCCCACAAACACCCGTTTGCCACCATAAGAATAAGGGCAAAGACCACAATTTCAGACACATTGGGGCCTTCATGTATTTTAAATGAATAGACGCAAAAAAGCATTCATGCCACCTACTTCATTGTACTCGGGGGCCTGTTTGAGCGTTCTAATCAAACATTAATTTCCTTCACAATAATTGTGCCACTTGGATGTGTTTCACCTTTTCCCACCCTTTATTTCCCTCATTGTTTACCAATAGGTACTCTGTACTTTTAGCAGAGCTGGGTCTGCACCCACTTTTATATAAACCGGATTGCAAACCCAGTTGAGTGATACAGCTCATACGAAAAATGGAGAAGAAAAAAAAACCCTACCGAATCAAAGATTTGTCGACCGCTCCAAAAAAA